TAGCTTAAGAGTGCCATAAATGGCACGCATCATTATGCAAAAAGGGACATAATGGTTAAAGCTTATTGTGTATAGACTAACCAGAATCCACACGCCTTATGGAAAACACTCACAAAGGTGTTTGTGGACCTCACATGAACGGAATATGCTTGCTTAAATAATCTCACAACAAGGGTACTATTGGTCCACTATGGAACATCATTGCATACAATATGTCAAAAAATGTCCAGAGTGCCAAATGTTCGCTAAAATACAACATCTTCCACCAACCAAACTGTACAACCTCACTTCCCCTTGGCCTTTCTCGACTTGGGGAATTGACAAAATTGGCAAAATTTCTCCAACTGGAATAGAAGGACACAAGTACATACTAGCAGCCATCGATTACTTTACTAAGTGGATCGAGGCGGCTTCTTACGTAAAAAAATCTAAACATGTTCGCAAAGTTTCTCGAGCAAAACATATTTTGTAGAGAAGGAGTTCCACACGAACTAATTAGTGATCAGGGATCTCAATTTAAAGCAGAAGTAGAGACCCTCTTAGCTCGTTATAAAGTAAAACATCATCACTCATCTCCATACAGACCTCAAATGAACGTAGCTGTAGAATAGGCAAATAAAAACATAACAGTCATCATTACGAAAATGGCAATAAATTACAAAGACTAGCCGAATAAACTACAATGCGCTCTATGGGGTTATAAAACATCCATACGAACATCAACCAGTTTTCAGAATGGATGTAGTTCAACCAGTTCAACTCGGAATGGACGCAGTTAAACCAGTTGAACTAGAAGTACCATCCCTACGCATCGTACGCAAAAGTAAGCTACCGGAAGCTGAATAGGTAAGAGTGAGGTATGAAGAGCTTTTATTCCTTGATGAACGACGATTAAGAACTTTGCATCATGTACAAGTCTACCAACAATGCATTGCGCGATATTTTAACAAAAGAGTACGACCCCAAAATATTAAAGAAGGTGACTTTGTACTAAAAGAGGTTAGAGGTTCACCAACCGATCCAAGAGGTAAATTCAAACCTAACTAGATATGACCTTATCGCGTGATTAAAATTCTATCAAGAGGAGCTGTCAGATTAATGGATATTGGGGGTGATGAAATTCGCCAATTAATAAACATTTATCGACTTAAAAAATATTACATATGCAATCCGGATAAACTCGTTCATTCATTAAACAAACCTTTTTCATTAGCATTCAAATAAAGAGTCTATGTGTTATGCACTTTACCGAACACCACGGTAAAGTTCACAACACTTGGGGGGTAATTAAAAAAAAATGTACCATTCAAAGTGTTTAGATTTTTTTTGAAAATCATGAAAAAATCTTCACACTTGGGGGGGGTAAATTCACACACAATTACAACAGATGCGCGCGGATGTCACACGCAACTAAATCAGTTGCGCGCGGCAGGCACGCGCAACCTTGAATGTTGCGCGTGCCACCTTGGATGATGCGCACGCCACCTAATGACGAACTGCGAGCCCAGAATTTTACGCTCGAATAAAATCTCGATTTCTACTTACGATAAAAAAGGGTGGCGTTTCTCAAACATCATATACTCGGAAAAGAAAAAAATTAAACTTTGATTTATGATTGATAAACAAAGCTTGATTAATTTTTCATTTAATTTATACAAAGGGAATTTAAGAAAAAAAAACACATATAATAATTTTGCAAAGAACTACGCAAAGACCTGATTTTGTGATTCGAATACGTAGGCAATATTTATGATTCGGTCATATAAATAAAAAAATAATAAATAAATCTCATTTTATTCCATTCAAAATAAAATATTAAAAAATAATAAATAAATAAAAAAAGACATCATTGAACTAGATCAAAATTAAAAAAAATAGTAGTGATTACACTTTATTATTCGAATTAAAATTATTAATAATTGTGTAACACTCTAAGGTTTTACTATATTCTCGATTGTCATGGTGGATGGAGGAGTAGTTTCCATTGCAGCATTTTTGGCAACCTTAGAGCTTTCTCCTTCGCTCTTCTTCTTAACCCAAACATTCTTCTTCAACCTTGGAATAGGGGCTTTTTCAATTCTTTTCCCTTTTCCTTTATCATTTGTTGGAGCCTTTTTGCGAGGATTTGGAGAAGGTTCCTTAATCTTCACACCTTTTTGCGCGGGTTTAGGCGGAGCCTTTCTTTTTGGCTCCCTTGAACGAGCCTTAGGAGATGAGGAGTATTACTTTCTTCTCACCCCTTTGTTTTGGCCATTATAAGGAGTATTAGTGGCCGAATGCATCAAAGGCTTAGGTTGATTGTGGGACAAAGCCACTTGATTTTGTGATCGAGCATTATTTAGCTCTCCCTTATCTGACGCATTCATCCAAGCCTTGTAGAAAGAGGATAAAACAATACTCGCCGTGGGATTTTTCACTACCCACCTAGGAAGACTTGACTAATATTACATCCAACGGGGAATTTGTTCGGGTTTAAATATCACATCCTTAGGGTTATCACAATCTTGTGGGGGAATAATTTGTTTCATCCCATATTGTCTCATCACCCTGCAAGGAAAAATATAGGGAAATTCTACATGGTGGCCTCAAGGTTTTACTTCTTTTACGTGGAAGACGAAGTTTTTTTCACATCTCTTAAGTGACCCCAAGGTTTTGAAGAATTATGCATAGTGTCCTTTTTTTAGGTTTTTGGCTAACCCAATAAAAATGGTTAGCCTTTGTTTTTTTATTAAAAAATAATTAAATTATAATTTAAAATAATTTTAAAAAAAGGAAATTTAAAAAAAAACCCAAACCCAAGACCACCCTCCCACCACCACGTCCACCATCCACAACCCCAACCCCCACCCACCTAGCCACAAGCCAAACCCCACTGTCGCATGTGCCGTCTGCGCCACCCCGACCACCCTCCCTTCCCCAACCACCGTAACCCGACCCTTAATAGGCCAAACCCGTAACCTAAAGTCAACAACCTCGAAACAACGACTCGGGTCGTGGCCCCTCTTCTTGCAGTGCGGACAGGGTGCCTTAAACCAACAGGAAGCAAAATCATGCCCCTGTTTCTTGCAATGGGAGCAAACCGAATTTCTGCCTCCACCTGTGTTAGCCCGTAGAGCAAAACCTATAGCCTCGGTTGGCTTTGCCTCGGTCTCCTTCTTAGCATTGCGAACCCGTTCATCTTGAACTGCAAGTTGATACGCACGATCAAGACTAGGTAACGGATCTTGAGACAATATATTCGATCGAAGAGAAGAATAATAGTCCGAATATAACCCCATAAGAAAATCATGTAATCGGGATTGTTCGCGGCGTTGGGCATGTTGTTGACCTGCTGTACAAGAAGAGCAGCACGAGCAGGAGATTAAAGGCTCGTGATGATCAAGTTCGAGCCATAAAGCGTGCAACTTTCCATAGTAAACCGAGACAGCCATGTTCTTGCTCTGTTCGCACTTGGCAATGGAAGATCGGAGCTGTTGAATTCGAGGACCATTGGTTTGTGCAAACCGTTCTTGGAGGTGATCCCAAAAGGGTTTCACTTCCCTAAATTTCGAGAGTGAGGATTTTACTTCAGGAGAAATCGTATTTGACAGCCAAGAAATTATCATAGCATTTAATGCGGTCCAATCGGACTTGGTGCAGGGGGCTTCTGGTACAATAATAGTGCCATCAAGAAATTCATATTTGCGCCTAGCCTCTAAAGCAGTCCGAATATCGGCTGCCCATTCATCATAATTGTCGCCGTTAAGTCGAGTAGGGGTAATATAGTCACCGGGTCGATCTTGAGGGCCTAGATAATAGGGAGAGTTTGGTTCAATTTTAGTTGGTGGTGGTGGTGGTGTTTCATCACCAGCCATTGTTGTTTAAAAAAAAATCAGAGAAAAAAACTTTGCTCTTGATACCATGAAGAATTAGAAAGATAATTGCTTGTCTTCTCATTAATCACCTTGGGAAATATATAGCAAATACAAGTCCTAGTCCTAGTATAACAAGATAACTTAGGATCTTAGGAAATTAACTAAAATAGAATATGGAAATATTATCATATCATTATCATATCAAACTAAATATTCTATCATATCTCAATAGCTAGATTGTGTGCAACACAATAACCATCACGTTTCACATGTGACCAAACAACGGACATGAAACTAGAACATAAGCTCATGATATCACCAAGAATAGAGTTGAACTCCACAGCCTGCGAATTCTTTGATAGCTTCTCGATAATGACCTTGCAATTGGATTCCAAAATGAGTTTAGAAAGGCCATACCTCTTTCCGAAACGAAGAGAAAATAACAAAGCATTAGCCTCTGCAATTTATGGGCTCTAATAGGAACGTCATCTTTTTGTAGCAGCAGCAATAACCTTGTCTTCGTGATCCCTAACAACAACTCCAAGCCCTACCCACCCTTCATCAGCAAGACACGCATTCGCATTAATCTTGACAAAACTCGCAGGGGGAGCACACCACTTATTCGGGCTAGGGGGAGGGCGTAACCCAGCAGCTCCATAGATGCGAGTGGTGTACTTATCCTACACATCAATGTACCTATTCACACGTTCACCAATCACATCATTTGGAGTCGTTCTGTTCTGAAACACCTTGCAATTCCTATCACCCCACAAACACCAAGCAAGAAACATACCTCTTTGGAAAATTTTCGGGTTTAATTTTTTCCAGCTAATAACCAGGTCACGGGTTGAATCACACTCCCTTCTATTGGCCATTCTAGAGCAGCCACAGTCCTCCCAATGCTCCTGCACTCGCCAAAACATAGGAAAAGCATGGATAACAGTCTTGGTCTCAGCAGAACACAATGGACAGAGATTGTGTAATACCCGTATTTTAAAAAACATAAATAAATAAAATTATTGGTAATCTTTAAAGTATAACTTTATAAATGATATAATTTATGTAACCCTATTTTATTTTAAGTAGAACTCTAATATTTAGAGGTATACTTAAACCCTAAAATTTGCTATTTTTATCAAATTCTTTACGGAGTATCGAGTGCAAGCGTGAGCCGAAGGGGTAATTCAAGTTCATCAGCCTGATTTGCGAAATCAGTAATTGAAGAGGCAACTATGTCATTTCCTTACAAAGGGTGAGGGGCATTTTGCTCGCTACGGTCATTAATTGGGAAAACGTCTAAATGACATGGCAGACGTTCTTCATAGTCAAACTAACGGTTGACTAGTTTTTTTTTCAACATCCGTCTTTGAGCAAATTGTTGTAACGTTTCTGGATACTTTCCCAAATCTCTGAAAACCTAGGGCGACATTCTCACCGATTGTTGCTTCTGTGGCTAGAACTCTGACACTCTGTCATTGGGGATCAATTGTAAGTGAAATTGAGGTTCTTGAGGGTTATGCGGTTGTTGGAATACAATCAAAAGCCGCAAGACCGTCCCGTCGAATTCGAAAAGAAAAGGTGCTCTTGCTACGGCTTGTGTCGTCTCTAAATTCTTGATTATCTCTTCCTATGGCTTTATGTTTCTGGAAATTTGTTGTTTATTAGATAGCTTAGATTTTGGGAATTAAATGGCTTAGCTTGCGAGTCAAATATGTTAACTTGTTGTGTATCCATTTTGAATTTTGCCCATAGGTATTAGTGAACATCATTTGTGTTCTGGAATTTATTGTGGAGCCCAATTTTGCTGTAAACCAATCCAATTATCGTCAAAGAAATGTTATGAATTGGAATTTGAGTATGCAGCATTAGAATAATTTCCGGAATTTTTTTTTATTTTTTTCCTTTAACGGTTGTTTGTGCTCAAACTTTGCAATGTGTATTAATTCATTGGTTGATGTTCAAGGTAAGTTCCAAATGATGCAAGATAGCAAACACGTTTTCCAGGCAATGTTCAAGGTAAGTTCTAAATCACACCAAGATACTCTCTCGTTGTTTATCTTTCGTTTTATGATGGGTTGAAATCTACCTGTAGGGATGATAGTTTGACTGTCGGTGGGAAAATAAAGGCTAAAGGTGAAGTTTTAAAGGAGTTTTTTAAGGCGAGGTCTAAGGTATTGTACAATGTGTGTTGTTCTCCAAGTTCAGGTAAATGTTATGTTGTTGTTATTGTTTCCATTTAACGTATCTTACCCAAATTCAACAGCCACCAAACTTGAATTGTCGAGTGGAGAGTTTTGCCAGAATCTGTCAAACCTTTGACTCACGTAGGAGACGGTGGGTTGCCGAAATGGGATTTGGAGGGCTGTTGTATTTATCTGGTGACATGCATCTTCCAAGGCAGTTGGGGTACTAGTTAGTGACCCGAATGGATCCCATTAGTAAGATGTTACTAGCCCCGGATGGAAGGTGTTTAAGGTTGTCTAAAAATCAAGTTCATTGGGTCCTTGGCATCCCTAATGGAACAAAGATACTTCCCTCATGAAAAACATTAAAGAGTGCACAACGGGATAAGGTGAAAAAAATAATTGCAAAATACGGGGCAACACGGAATAATGGACAACCAGACGTCTTTGATAAAGTAAGAATTCCGGTCTACCCTGAGTTAATGGAGAGGCTTGAGTGTTACTGGGAAGAGAACGAGGAGGAAGAGTTCAAGACACTCTTCTTATTGATTGCTTTAGAAATGTTGTTGTGTCGTACGTTGTCCACTAGATTGTCTTCTGACCTGGTACCTGCTTTGACATGTGCTATGGAAGCCGTTCAATATGATTGGTGCACTCTGGTGCTATCCAAACTGCTTAGTAGTGTCCGGTCCTTCGCTCGTAGATTTTATTCTTATGGGCATGCTGGTGGATGTGGTGGATGCATTTTATTTGTCGTGGTACGTTCAGTGTAATATGTCTATCTTTGTATGTATTGGCATTTGGTTTTAATGTGATTAATAAATGGTTTAGGGTCTGTGACATATTTATTACTTGGTTCGGCTTGATAGGGAGGTTGTACAATGGGGTGTTTTCCCTAGGCTGAAGGTTTGGACCATGAAGGACATGTTGATTGCTAGCAAGGAGGACAGAGCACCCAATAGAGGTGATTATGGATGCAAAGGGGTATATGATATTATCTGTTAACCCTATCCCTTTTTACAATACTTTGTTTTTATTTATATTCAAGCGTGTATGTATTAACTGGTACAATTTAGTGTGTTGGTAGACCCTGGATGTTGCTTATGGTGAGATTCATCCAAGGCAGGCTAGAGATACGGATGGACCTGGTGTTGTAACTAAGGAGATTATTGAACATGATATTGATTTCACAGCGACTCCTAGACGTCGTAGAGGAGCGTCATCATCAAAGATCCCTCGCCAGGAAGCTGGAAACACTTACGCAGTTGAAAGTGCAAGTGTTGTTGCTGTTGTTTCTGAAGAACCGAACCAAACACATGGCAAATTATTAGTTCGGTCCGATGGTTTACCGCATGTTGGTTATTTAGATGATTGGAGAAGGTAAAAGCTCCTTTGTATATGAATGGTGTCTTCCCTTTGCTAAAAGTTTGTTGCTCATATTATTGTTACCTGTGTCCCAGGTTTCTACCTACAGGAGCTCTCTCCCTGCTACGAAAGATGATTTTGGGGGTAAGATTTTCAATGGGAAATGTTGTCTATAAACCGTGTTATGTCTTATGTCACAGTTATGAGCCTAAACATAAATGTTTATTTTCTTTTTATAGGTAATGAGCGCTTCTAACTATTGCATTATGGGTGATTGGCCATTAATTTTATCGTCTGCATTTGTAAGTTTAAGTTCATGCACTTGTCTCCCTATTTATGCTGATTATTAGAGTCTTAATGGTTTAATTTCTAACTGTGATTTGGTTTTAGCTTCAGGTAGTATCGTTCGATGGACAATTAGATTACAATATCGTGATGCTCCCTTTATTGTCAACATTCATTTGCAATCCTAGATGTTCTATGCTATTGGTTGTCTCAGAGGTTAGTATCTCTTTTTTGGCTTCAACACATCGAATTGGTGCTATATGATAAACTATTTATTGGATTCTTTGAGGTTTTTCTACAGGACTGTGGAAGAACCTTAAGTTCTGATCTTGCTCTATACCGGATTTGTATTCCTTTAACGATAAGCGCCCGATATGAAATGATGTTGTTATCTGCTGACTCCATAACACCAGATATCAGTTCTATCAGTAGACCGTTAAGTTGGTTGACCTTTCTATTTTGATATTAGGTTCAATCTTATTGCTTAATCACAGGATATCCTTTTCTGTGACCAGATGTTAAACATACAACAAGTTTATCACGATATATTTGTCTCTTGCGTGAAAGGCCTCACAACTTCCAACCTGTCAAGGAACATGTTGCTGGTACAAAGGAGTCATGCGTAAAACTGCAAAACGCCCCTTAACTTAGTTGAGCCCCCCTTGTTTGTGCTAATTTAGGTAATTCTTTTAATATATTATACTAGGCAATGTATAACAACTTGTAGTCTTGTACTATTATTGTGGTTTTTTTTATTAGAGTTGTATTATTATTTCTGTACTACAGTTTATAATTGAGGCATTAGTTTAACTCACACACACAAACCATGTATTTCTCTACTTTAAGTGCGATTTGTGAAAACAAATATTCAACAGTTATATTCTCACTCTAAAATTTGTCCAACAGGACCTTGAATATGAGTATGGCCCAACCGAATTATAAAGCCCATCCAACTCATCCTAAGTGAGCCAACAGAAGTAGGCCACAATATTGGGCCATACTTCAATATGATTCACTCTAAACGTTGGTATTCTTTGTATCACTTATTCTTGGAATAAAATTCGACACATACCCATACCATTGGCCAATAATAAAATTCGACACATATTCATAATATTGGCCCATATTATTGGCCCATAATATTGGACCTATATTACATTTTGCATAGTTTATGAGTATTGACTTGTTATCTTAGGCTTTCTGAAACAACCATAAAGGTTACTATTTGAAATTTCTGAAAATCTACGATTTCTTAGTGAAATTATAAAGGAAAATAAACAGTTTCCATTAAATACACATTTTAATACACTATTACAATCAACATTAAAGTAACCATACAGAATAGGCCAATTATTTTGGTTTAGTCAACATATAAACATCTTCATTTCACAAAGCGATATGTCCTTGAATTGGTTAAGCTATCAATTAACTCCAATGTGTTTTCCTTCCTGAAAACAACTATCGCGTGGCCACCATCTACTACAGTCTTCGATGACCCGTATACTACAAACGGGTATAGTTCCCAGCAAATCACGCACCCCAAGTGCACAGTAACTCTGGTCTCGGTTAATATTACCACGTCTGGCGTAGTTAATTCCACCGTGGCCTTGAACTCTTCCACAAATGTATCTTTCGCCATGCTTTTGCAATTCCACACCAACCATTTATTACGGTTGCAGATTGATTCTGCTACTACAACATCAGTGTAACCCACTGTCATACTAATGTTGATTTTTTTAACGTCTAATAGGTTGCTAGTGTGTAAATTGGATGAAATTGTTAATTGTTTTATTGTACAATTGTTACTAGTAAAAAAACAAGTGTTTATAATCACTGTAACTATTGAATTTGATGCAGTGAGTTCCAATTGTAAGATTGGTGGTTTGTAGTTGAGGTTCAGCATCACTTCCAAGAAAACTTGAAATAATTTCGGGGATGATTTTTTCATACCCCACACCACCTTCACCGCCATGGTTTGCAACTATCCATTTCAGGGCTACCTTCAACCCAGCTGGTAATAGAGCTAGATCGGACAAATCCGACAAATAGCCGGGTGTAACATCGTTATTGTCATGGATGACAACTACATCCCCACCAAAGTTACCACCACTTGCAACCGTCTTAGCAGCGGATTTTGCATCTACAAGTGTGATGGGAACTTCCCCTTTGCTGTTCAACACACAACTCTTCACCACGACAAGCAGACCTTTTGGCTTGGTTACTTTGGTTGAGTCCAACCGCTTCCTTTTCTTTTTGTAATGGAACTCTACTCGTGGTTTAATAATCATAGCTGGAATGAGCATCTCCTTACTTGCCTTGCTGGTTTTATGTTGGGTACTTTTGATATCTTTTGGTTTTCTATCACTACATGAAAAAATGAATTTAGTACCGGTTCAAACCCGACCTAAGGCACCGGTTTGAACCGGTGCCAATGTGGGGGGGTGCCAAAAAGGGGTTTAAAAAGGCACCGGTTCAAACCGGTGCCAAAACTCAGAATTGGCACCGGTTAACCGGTGTTAAAAATGGCAAAAAAAAAAAAAATAATTGCTTGTTTTTGGCACCGGTTAACCGGTGCCAAATGTGCCCCAAAATTTTTTTTTTTTTTTTTTTTGTTTTATCGTTTTATCTACTTAAAAATTAAATAGACTAAATTAATAACCACATCAAAACATAAATCCAATATCATCGAATATTTACAGTATATGATAAAAAAATAAATTATAATATACATCAATAAAATAGTTTGATTACAACATATAAGTACGAAAAAAAATTACAATATAAATTAAAAAAAATTACAATATAAATTAAAAAAAATTACAATATAAATCAAAAAAAGAAACCATTCACATCTAAATCAGTATTCTTGTATCTTGTTTCTTCGATTTCAGATCTAAATAACATACCTGCACCAATTAGAACAAAAAAAAATCGATTAATATAATCAAGCTTAAAAAAAACCCCAGAAATTTAATCCCAAAAATTCAAACCCAAAAAAAAATTGAAATCGAAAAAAAACTTGAAAACCCAGTATTCGAATAAACCCAGAAAACGAAAAAAATTGAAAACGAATTAACCCAGAAAAAAAAAACAAATCGAATAAACCCAGAAAAAAATAAACCAAAAACCGATTAAAATAAAAATCAAAAACTGATTATAAACCCAGAAAATAAAAAATAAAAATCGATAAAAAAAAAACTCAGAAAATAAAAATCAAAAACGAAATAAATCGCTTAAATTAAAAAACAAAATTCGATTAAAATAAAAAAAAAAACCCAGAAATAAATATATAAAAAACGAATTAAAAAAATCGATCAAAAAATTGATTAAGACAAAAAACCAGAAATAAAAAACAAAAACGAACCCATAAAATAAAACCTTGGATTATAAAAAAACAAACCCAGAAAATAAATATATATATAAAAAAAACTGAATTCAAATGATTAACAAAAAACAAACCCAGAAAATAAATTAAAAAAAAAAAAAAAAAAAAAAAAAAAAAAAAAAACCTCGAATTGGTGATGCATGTGGTGGTCTTGGTGGTGTTGCATGTGGTGGTCTTGGTGGTGGTGCAAGTGGTGGTCTTCAATAGAAAGAAAGAAGGAGATCGAGAAAGAAAGAGAAAGGAGATCGATATTTCTGTGGGCTGGGCTGGGCCGGAGGTGGTGGTTGTGACGGTGGTTGTTGTGTTGGTGAAATGGCGGCTCAAAAACTTGAAACTTGAGAAGGAGAAGGAAGGAGGAGGAGAGGAGAGAGAAAGAGGAGGAGAGGAGAGGAGAGAGAAAGAGGAATGAATTAGATTAGGGTTGAGAACAAATAAGTAGCAGCCGCTTTTTTTTCTTGTTTTTTTAAAAAAAAAACTTAAAATACCGGTTCACAAAGGCACCGGTTCAAACCGGTGGCCTTTATGTTTTTGGCACCGGTTTGGACTGAACCGGTGCCTTTTATTCTGCTTTAACTTCCCACCAATTTTGTAGCCCATTTTTGGCACCGGTTTGGACTGAACCGGTGCCAATTAGGGGGTGCCTTTTTGATATTTTCTACTAGTGTATTTTAAGGGCATACGATCATTTTGTGTGAAGAAAAACATAAACAAGCCAGCTATATTAACAGGAGTATTGGAATTGTTTGTAAGAGGGGGTAGTGGATTGGCTACTAATGCCTATTGCAGCATTTTATAGGTGTGTTTTTTTCATAGGAGTAGAAAATTGTGGTTTTACCTCCAGAATTGAAGCGAAGGCGGGAAATTGAAATGATTGGTACATAATTTTACCACCAAAATGAAAATAATGGCGCCAAAATATGCAATCAACTTGTAATACAACCCTAGTAGTTTTTGGTCCTTTAAAATGCTAGAAGCTTCTTATAAATAAACCTTTTATAAAACCAAAAGTTTGAATAACAATCTATTTAGAATTGAAACTGTTCCGAGAACAATTGATTTTTATAGTAACTGTAATTGAAATCAACTACTTTAAGAATGCACACCTGCCTTAACTAAAAGTGAATTGCAATTGATTATTGTTTTCGAAAATGGGGTTGTATGAAACCGTAATAGTTGGCCAATCAACCTTAACCATACATCTTTATTGGCCTATCAACGCACACCTTAAACAGTGATGAGTAGTTGATGAATGTTTTTACATAATTAAAATATCCTCAAATTCTTGTTTACATCTATATACTTCCCTTAATATATTTTCAATATTATTCTTGATCAACCATTAATTTTCAATATTACTTAATATATTTTAATTGAATTTAATTACTTTATTATTATCTAAGGAGTTTTAAAACAAATACAACTATTATTATTTTAAAAGGATCAGATAATAAAAAAAATATTATAATACATTAGACAATAAATCTCTATAAATTAAATTAATTTGGTTGTAATATATTAGACAACAAATCTTTATAAATTAAATTCATTTGGTTAGCTTATTTTATTATATAGTGAAAGAGGTACTTTTTTATAATTCCTTAAAAAAAAAAGGTACTTTTTTATAAGAGATACTTATTTAAAAATTTTATGATGGAGATACAAATATATTTAGGGTATGTGATACCTTCAACTATAAACACCATTTTGTGATTAGGTTGTTGAACTTTTGGTTCAATTAATTTTTTATTTAACGCAATAGGAATTCCCGGTGGAAGGTTTCGTATATATATTACAAGTATATTGTTATTCACATACATACTTTACGACTAAATTCAAGTCTTTTATTCTCACCCACATTTAGCACATTTTTATTATTTAAATTTTTTACACACCTTCTAGGGTGATTATTAATGATTTGTCCTATATCCTATGTTGATTATTAGCTAATGTATCATGAATAATTTAAGAAACCAGTAAATTAATTAATACTTTATCATTTTACAAATACTTTGAGTATGTACTATCTCTTGTTTCTAAAGTTTTATTTTCGATCAAAGTTGTTTATTTCTATATTAAGTAAATGATTAGACTACTAAAAAAATTAAGAGTTTTATGACCATTAATAAAGCATTTCATAGCTAATATTCATTTAATAAGCATAGTCGCATTATATAATCATAATATAAACCGCTACATTTTTTTATATGTTACATAGTACATAAGAAGGTCCTATCATAATACTAATACTAGTCATAATTATAGAAGGACCGGAGTTAACCAAAATGATAACCAACTTTAACAATTAAAACTAGGCGTTAACTACATAATCCAACAACACAAAATGATTAACACCCACTTCCACAAAGCTTAAAAATACCCAAACAAAATGTTCCCAAACCATGATGTTACACGTTGTAGCCCTTAATCGATCATTCACTATTCAGCACAGTCATTACCACCATCATTCTAAGATGGTCTTCAGCTTCTTGTGGCAAAGAGACTTCAGGTTAAGTGGGTCTGATTCCTTTCCCTACAATAAGGAAAATAATTCATGACAATAAACTGGTAATACAAGTAATTTAACAAAACTA